TACAACATGAAAACTTCACAAGACGTTGGATATTTTATTTTTTATTTAACTTATCCATCTGCTGGGGTCTCATTACATTGCATGATTCAGTTTCTCTGGTAACCTCTTATGTCTGGTAAAAAGAAGAGTTTTTCCCAAAACTTTATATTTTGTATATTTAGTTATATAAAGTTGATCTGATAAGTAGTTTTGACTGCATCCACTCCAAATGAGCCCCACCACACAACATGATTGAATTTTGGAAAATGTGTGGGAAGCTTTCATATTGTTAGAAAAGGTAGTTCATCTCCTTAAGTTCATTCCTAGCTTTCTCTCTCTCTCTCTCTCTCTCTCTCTCTCTCTCTCTCTCTCTCTCTCTCTCTCTCTCTCTCTCTCTCTCTCTCTCTCTCTCTCTCTCTCTCTCCCCTCTCTCTCCCCTCTCCCCCCTCTCCCTCCCTCCCTCCCTCCCTCCCTCTCTCCCTCTCTCCCTCCCTCCCTCCCTCCCTCTCTCCCTCTCTCCCTCTCTCCCTCTCTCCCTCTCTCCCTCTCTCCCTCTCTCCCTCTCCCCCTCTCCCTCTCTCTCTCTCTCTCTCTCTCTCTCTCTCTCTCTCTCTCTCTCTCTCTCTCTCTCTCTCTCTCTCTCTCTCTCTCTCTCTCTCTCTCATTCACTTCAAGATAAAAGATTATGTGGTTGGCCATCTCCTTTACCATAATGACAGATCTCTCGTAGCTTAAGATGACAAACATAATTGAAACATTAAAGTAATTCCATTCTCATTGTGTACTTGTTATTTAATCATTCATTAACATAAGTGAAAAGTATTTACTAAGTGTAAGTGTATGGAGAAGGAAAAATTAAAAAGAAACCAAAATCTCTTGTATATCTTGTAGTAGTACCTATAAATAAAAAAGATTAAAGTAGTCAATGTTGTAGGCAGTGCTATGCTGGTTACTTCTGTAAGATGCCAATCCATGTACTTTGAGACAAGAGACTTGCCATCTGTATATTGAAGGGATGAAGAAGTGCCAGAGTTTACCTTTGCCCTAATGCCCCATGAGAGCACTCTGTGAATCTGCAGCTCTGACTACAGTATTCATAGATGAATAAAGTGACATAAACAGAAGAATAAGATTGGTGGGAGTCCAGCCCAATTCACAAAGGCTTTGAGGTTACTGCACGAATAAGATCATAAGTATAAGATCAAACATATAGACCAAGCAGCTAAACTGAGCTTAGTACCTGATGTGAGCCCACCTTTAGCCATGTCTGGAAGAGGGGAGTTACTTCCCCTGAGGAGCATAAGTGCAACCGAAGGGAAAGAAAGGAAAGAAAATACCAGGAGGAGGTGACAAATATCTGGAGGATATGAACCCCCTGATAACTCCTAATATGACAGGATGCCAAGTGGAGGTATGATAAAAGCGCCTGCTGCTGAGAGTGTGAGACATGGCTGTGGACCTGATGTGCCCCGACCTGGGGAAGTATGTTGAACTTCATGTTGCCTGGTCATGCTGCTACAGGTACTCCCCTCCAGAGAGTGAGCGAAATACCATGATGTGTTACTCCGGCTGACTCATTGCGGAGACTATTATGCCCAGCGAAGCAGCGCCAGTGCTGAGTGAGGGGATTGTATAGTGCCCAATCCTTTTCTTTTCCTTAGCAAGGACTATCAGTTCCCTTTGCTCTGGGACCCGCTCGGACTTTGTCCATAGGGGGCACTATCTTTTATCCACAAGTGTGGTTTCTTCAAAAGTTTTTCTAAGTTATACCTTAAAACCCACACTATAAAAGAATAATAGTCATATAGGTTACTTATGATCTAACTAACACTTAGTGAGGTTACAATATTTGCTGATATACTGAGTCATAAATAATTACACTTCGACAATAAGAAAAAACCTTCATCTACAAAATGTCCAAATGTGTGTAAGCCAACCTCACTCTGCACTTGTTCTTCTCAGAAATCTTTTCTATCCTTCAACAGTTCCATGGACTCCCAAAAATTATATCTTCTTTCATTTTTGTTCACAGCACCAATGAGTGAAAACCAAAACCTCAACAAAAAACAAACAAACAAAACCCATTCATCTCTGAATGGGTTTTTAAAGTCTCAATAACAAGAGACCCACATCAGGATGGTGTTCAAGTGCCACGTGCCAGCCACTAGCTCTTATATTTCACAATAATCTAATACACTTTCAAGCTGTTGAATAGCACTCCTCTCTGATGTCTCTCTCTCTATGGTTATAGTTATAGTATCAGGATTTAGCACTATACATACTTCAAAATTTAATGTCTACTCGGATCACATATAGTACAAGCATATAGTCGTCTTAATCTATACACACTTCATTCCAGAGCAGGGCCGGATCCAGGGGGGGCGTGGGGAGTGTACGCCCCCCTATTTTTGGCAGAGTAATGATTTTTTTAGACCAGGAATTTTTTACACATCATCAGGGAAAGACGTAGGATATAGGTAGGAAAAGTCCCAGTCAGCAATAGAAGGGATAATTGATAGAAACTTTCTATCCCGCTAGGCTTCGTGCCTTCGGCACTCGCAATCGTCTCGGCTAGGGGTTACGGCCCCCTTTCTAACAATCCTGGATCCGGCCCTGCAGAGCTTAAATGAACCTTTCCAATAACAAAAATAATACATATTTTCTTAATTAAAATATAAATTATGTAACCTTATTATAACAGTACCAGTCATATCTAACAGTGTACCTTTTAAATGAAGAAAATGTATGGTGGTGAAAAAATACGTAGGGTAAACTATCCAATTTTACACTTTCCTAATCTTAGTAAAAATAAAATAGAAATATATAGAACTTTGTGCAAAAATAATAAAATAAAGTTTCTTTCTAGAAAAATAATTAAGTACTTTTATCTTACAAGTGAGGTATGCAAAGGGTGGTTTCTAGACGAATTTTTGGGTCATTCGAACTTCACATCATGGCAGTTTTGGGTTCCGCCACACACACGCACGCACGTGCAATGATACACGCGCACACGTACACACACACACACACACACACACACACACACACACACACACACACACACACACACACACACACACACACACACACACACACACGTACACACACACACACACACGTACACACGTACACACACACACACACACACACACACGCGCACACACACACACACACACACACACACACACACACACACACACACACACACACGTGCACGCACGCACGCACACACACACACACACACGTGCACGCACGCACGCACGCACACACACACACACACACACACACACACACACACACACACACACACACACACACACACACACACACACACACACACACACACGTACACACACACACGTACACACACGCACAAGCACGCACGTACGCACACGCACGCACACACACGCGCGCACGCACGTACGCACACACACGCGCGCACGCACGTACGCACACACACGCACGCATATGCACACGCTCATGCACAAGGTTATTCGCATTGATATGCCGATGCACATGCGCCCGTCGATTGGTGCTTAGATATAAACGTAACGAAACGTTTTAAGCATCTTTCTCAATATCTTACGACGCAGGTTATCCGTCCGCCGATATTATGCAAGAATTTTTGTTTGGGTTAATGTTCATGGAATGACAAGGTAACACAACACACACACACCCACACACGCGCGCACGCACGCACACACACACACACACACACACACACACACACACACACACACACACACACACACACACACACACACACACACACACACGTGCACGCACGCACACACACACACACACACACACACACACACACACACACACACACACACACACACACACACACACACACACACACACACACGTACACACACACACGTACACACACGCACAAGCACGCACGTACGCACACACACGCGCGCACGCACGTACGCACACACACGCGCGCACGCACGTACGCACACACACGCACGCATATGCACACGCTCATGCACAAGGTTATTCGCATTGATATGCCGATGCACATGCGCCCGTCGATTGGTGCTTAGATATAAACGTAACGAAACGTTTTAAGCATCTTTCTCAATATCTTACGACGCAGGTTATCCGTCCGCCGATATTATGCAAGAATTTTTGTTTGGGTTAATGTTCATGGAATGACAAGGTAACACAACACACACACACCCACACACGCGCGCACGCACGCACGCACACACACACACACACACACACACACACACACACACACACACACACACACACACACACACACACACACACACACACACACACACACACGCGCGCGCGCGCGCGCGCGCGCGCACGCACGTACGCACACGCACGCACGCATATGCACACGCTCATGCACAAGGTTATTCGCATTGATATGCCGATGCACATGCGCCCGTCGGCTGGTGCTTAGATATAAACGTAACGAAACGTTTTAAGCATCTTTCTCAATACACACACACACACACACACATAATCAATATTTCAAGCTATTCCCACTGATAAGTCGATGCACGTGCACGGAGTGTACATAATAGTAACAAGTAATAGTTACAATGCAGGTTGTCTGTCCATGGATATTACTAAGCATTTTTGTTTGGGTTAATGTTCAAACGTTATCGATGTTGGTAGAAAGTGTTTCATTGAGAAGCCAGTAACTTTTAGGACCTTAGACAACGGTGACGATGAATAAAATCTGTATAAACGCGCCTGCGATTCGAAAACGCCGGCTTCCCTAATGCAAGATCAATAAAAGGGTTTAACGCAGTGGTTCCCAACCTTTCCTATTCTGTGACTCCCGACCAATCTATAATAGTCTTTATGGTCCCATTCAGATTCAGCTATTACTATTCATGAATAGTGTAAAGGTGTCAATAGCTGTAGTGTAAGAACACTGTGGAAAGATTCTAATTCCTCGATTTGTGAGAGATATGATTATTTGTTGGTAGTGTAGGTAAGATAAAATCCAATTTAATTCTATTTTCATATTG